CCTATCATAAGTAAACTCTGCTTCACAGGGAATAGCCAGTTCTATAACAAATTGGAAAAGCAAGAGTGAACTTAAAATATAAAATGAGGTAATATAAACTTGTTAGAGTTATGCTATATGCAGCTCTCAAACAATGTAACATGAACAAAGACAACTTCTCATGGCCTCAATAGTTAAGATGGGGAATGGGCAAAGGATAGTGACACTTACTAAGAACCTGCTATGTGCTGAGCACACAGAACTCTCTAAATACAGGTGTCCCATGCATTGTTGAGATTGAGGTAGCTGAGTCTATGAGAATTTGCTGCTGGTCTTGTGCTGATTGTCTACAAGAGTTTTTAAAAGTGTTCACTACTCGTAACACTTACAAAATAAATTCAGAGCCCTATACTTGCTACACTTGTATTATTAGTTCCTGTGAAAAAAAGATGAGTTTTTTTAACTCTACCAATTTCAGCCATGTATCTTTTAGAATGGGAGAGAAGTGCTGTAGCTGAAGAATGCAACCCTCCTTTAAATTATTAGGTCCAAAGAGACACTGAAATGTGACTTCAGTCACATCTCACTCTTCCGTGAGCTAGGAAACCATTTGTTGAAGCTGCTTGCTATGTGGGCTCTAGACTGACTTGTGTGAACTACCCGTGAATTAATCTATCAATACCCTATACCACATAGCCTATAGTTAAATAACATATAGCCAATCACTGATCAATGTTGTTTCTGCAACAAGTAAGACTTGCTGACAAAAAACTTTAGAATTTGTTCCCTCTTCTGATTCCTCCTCCTCCTCTTCCTCAAAAACTTGGGTCTCTTGTTCTCCAGGATACTTCCCAACGAAGTGTTTCTGGGCTGCAGATCTCAACCTAGGCCCAAAAAACTTTCCGTATTAATTTTTCTCAGTGTTATTTTTTTAATTAATTTTTTAAAATTTATACTTTACAACATTCTGGGATGCATGTGCAGAACAGGCAAGTTTGTTACATAGGCATACATGTGCCGTGGTGGTTTGCTGCACCCATCAACCCATCATCTGCATAGGGATTTCTCATAAGGCTCTTCCTTCCTTAGCCTCCCAAGCCCTGACAGGCCCTGGTGTGTGATGTTGCCCTCCCTGTGTCCATGTGTTCTCATTGCTCAACTCCCACTTATGAGTGAGAGTATGTGGTGTTTGGTTTTCTGTTCCTGTGTTAGTTTGTTAAGAATTATGGTTTCCAGCTTCATCCACGTCCCTGCAAAAGACATAAACTCATCCTTTCTTATGGCTGTGTAGTACTCCACGGTGTATATGTGCCACATTTTCTTTATCCAGTCTATCATTGATGGGCATTTGGGTTAGTTCCAAGTCTTTGCTATTGTGAACAGTGCTGCAATAAACACATGTGTGGATGTGTTTACAGTAGAATAATTTATAATCCTTTGGGTATATACCCAGTAATGGGTTTGCTGGGTCAAATGGTATTTCTGGCTCTAGATCCTTGAGGAATCACCACACTGTCTTCACAATGGTGGAACAATTTACAGACCCACCAACACTGTAAAAGCATGCCTATTTCCCAACATCCTCTCCAGCATGTGCTGTTTCCTGACTTTTCAATGATCACCATTCTAACTGGGGTGAGATGGCATCTCATTGTGGTTTTGATTTGTGTTTCTCTAATGACCAGTGGTGTTGAGCTTTTTTTCATACGTTTGTTGGCTGCTAAATGTCTTCTTTTGAGAATTGTCTGTTCATATCCTTAGCCCACTTTTTGATGGGGTTTTTTGTTTTCTCTTGTAAATTTGTTCAAGTTCTTCTCAATGTTATACCTTAAATCAAGAATAACCAAGTCAGTTACTAATCTTAGACTCACCTGGTAGCCACAGGAACAGTATTTTCCCAGCTGTAATGTAACCAACAGAGTGATGCTTCATGTAATTCTGGTGCATTAATAAGCTCCCATGCCTAATAAGGAAAGCTGCTGGACAACAATGGAAATAGATCCTAAACTCAAACACCATTGTCCCATGACCTAAAACTTCTAGTCCTAGGTTCACAGGATCCTAAAATATATTATTCTCTTCCATTGCCTAACAATATGCTAGTTTCCATTTTTGGAAACAAAATCGTTATTCTAGTAACTACCATGAAACAATCTTTTTAATACTCTGAGCTGCAGTCTATGCAATAAATAATCAAATTTCTCTCTTCAAAACAATTCCTGGGTGGAACACATAAACTTAGAGCCAGCGAGGCTTGTTCAGTGCTTACTATTTGAAACACTTCATGGGAGTCCAGCTGGCATCTTTCTTCCCCTGGATTTAACCTGGATTAAACAAAGGAATTTAAAAAGTACTCCAAAAGGCTTTTCCAATTTCCAGGGCATCTTGGGGATCCCCTAAGACCTGGGCATGTCAGTACAGTTGGTCGCCCACCTGGTGATGGGACAGCACCTGATGAATCATTCTGTCCCTACTGCCTCACAGTGACAACTGCGTCAAAGACTCTCAACACATTAATCTGATAAAATGAATGAAATACTTGCCTGGAACTAAGTTAATAGGACAGTTCTTACTCATAAAACGTAGCCAGATCAGTTCAAAAGTCAATCTTTATCATACGTGCCCTGGAAATTCGAAAAGTCTCTTGGAGTACCTTCTGAATTCCTGTGTTTAATCCGACGATATCTCTGCTCCTTTATTTTTCTTTAGAATACCAATCACTACACAACATCGCACTGTATGGTTGAGTCTGGTGGTCTATTGTTTGTATAATGAACTTATTTTAATTACATATTGTAAAATCTTTTGTGTTTTAATCACAAAAGCACAGCAGTAGCTAGCAGCACGGTCATCAAACAGGAACTCAGTGAACTTTTTTGAGGAAATGAATGTATGATAATGATGGGTTTCATGTGTTTTTCTGATCAGTTTTTATTTCTAATACCTACAAGAAGCAGAGCATGCCTGTGACCCCGCCCGGCACCCATGTGCAGTGCTACTGTGCACCCGTCATGCTCCTGACCTTTCACTGATAGTGTTTACCACTTAGACAGCTGTAGAAATGCATTTTCATTTTTCCATAGCAGGCTGTCTTTCACAAGTGCATTCATGCTACCCAAGGTTATATGAAGAAACAGTTGAGTTTAAGTTACCAAATGTGAATAATTATAACTAACTATTAATTGCTTTTCAGTAGTAAAAGTTGGAAAATAAATAAGCCAAGATGACTACCCAAATCAATATGCTGGGCAGGATGTGACGTCAGCGTCTGCCTCAGACAGAAGAGCACACAAAAACATGACATCTCACTCTAAGCCCAGGTAATGAAAAAAGTCATACAGATGTTGGAAAAATAAGCAATGCCACAATTACAGTTTATGCATACTTGGGAAACTACATGAAGTAAAAAACAAATTACTGGATTTGAGATGGTGTAAAGAGAAAAAGAGAGACTATAAACAGTTGACTCAGAAATAAAAATTCCAGATGAAAGGCCTAGCATAAAAAGCTAGACAAACCTTCCAGAAAGGGAAAAATGATTTATTTTGGCTGTTGGATTTCTTTATTCTCAATTATTAACTATTAATTTGAATTTCATTGTTTTACCTAATGAAATAGGGAGACATATTTAATCCATGAATCACAAATGTCCTCCTGCTCACACTGGCTTTTCCAGTTTTATAGCTTTGCAGAGTCTGCTTGACTCTGCCGTCATGTACCATGATGAAAACCAGACTACAAGAACAGAAAGTGAACATCCCCTCTAACCTCCGTATGCTTCAAACTCGTCTGCAAATTGATGTAGGCTTGATCTTTTGCAGAAGAGTAATAATCACACAATTTATTAAGTTGAATGAGATAATGTACACACAGGAAGGCATTTACCAAATAATTACTAAATTTGGGGTAAAATTGAAATGACTAGAAATTTGAAGCAGCTACACAGGATCAAAATCTAATTCCATCACTGACAGTATTTGAGAAGGTTATTCTTTACATCTCTAAATACTACTTTAAATACTTGAAAAATGAAGATAAGATGCCTAAATTCAGTTTGTTTTTGTTTTGTAATAATGTGAGGAACAGCTGAAATAATGTACGGTACATCAAAGACTCCTATATATAGGAGAGAGAGAGAGAGAATAGGTAGATATGTACATACAAACATACACATGTATGAAAGGTAACAGATGAATAAATATAAAATTATATATATTAAATATTATAAATTATATAATATATATTATCTATATTTTATATTTATTCATGTTATCTTTCCATTATGACACTAGTAATTGCTTTCAGCAGTGTTAAACATGCTTTTTAAAAAATAAACCTATTATGTAATCTCTGACATTTATTTTGAGTGATTTACTTACATGAAGAAAATAATATTGTATGTGACTGACTATCCGTGCATTTGACTTTGCATTCTGTAGGTCTTCAATATCTGAAAACCTTATTAGGGAAGACAGAATATTTAAATAACACTTTACAGTTAAGGTGGATCTTGGACATACAAAGCCCTTACAGTTCAAGGAGTGACTTGCATTTTCAGAAAAGGCACAGAAGTGCCTGTCTGGAATATGAAAGGCAGAGTATCAAGGTTTATCTGGCTGGAATACTGTCAGCTGGAGAGGAAAGACCAGAAATTACAGATAAAGAAGAGGCCTATGTAAGCATATAGAAAATTTCTGAGTCATACATCAAGTTTCTATTGTGATTATGCCCTATTAGATTAAAACACTGCAGAATGTAGCTATCCCTGCCTTTCTCACATCCTGTGACTTGTTGATAACTCATGGGAGATGTGACTGGCCAGGAGTTCTCTAGAAAAGAAGGTTTTAGTTATATTCTTTTTTTTTTTTTTTAATTTTATTTTATTTATTTATTTATTTATTTTTTTAATTTTTTATTGGATTTTAGGTTTGGGGGTACATGTGCAGAACATGCAAAACAATTGCATAGGTACACACATGGCAGTTATATTCTTTATCTTTTCCACCTACAGGGCTAGACTCGGTACTGAAAAACCACACATATATCTATGACTTGCTGAGATGTTTACCAGAAATAATTGGAAAGGTAACATTCTGTTAAGATCTAGAAATCGATTCAACAAAACCTGCAGAGTTAGAGGAGAAACAACTCAATCTAAACAAACATTGATAAAGTCAGTTCCTTTTTGTTTTTCTGTTGTGTTTCATGTTTTCTGCTTTGCTTTTGCTTCTATATCTCTTTTAACACAGTTACAGCAGAAAGTTTTCATGGAGAAATGGAATCACACGTCAAATGATTTCATTTTGTTGGGTCTGCTTCCCCCAAATCAAACTGGCATATTACTCCTGTGCCTTATCATCCTCATATTCTTTCTGGCCTCGGTGGGTAACTTGGCCATGATTCACCTCATCCACGTGGATCCCCATCTCCACACACCGATGTACTTTCTTCTCAGCCAGCTCTCCCTCATGGACCTGATGTACATCTCCACCACCGTCCCCAAGATGACGTACAACTTCCTTTCCGGACAGAAAGGCATCTCCTTCCTGGGATGTGGTGTGCAAAGCTTCTTCTTCCTGACAATGGCATGTTCTGAGGGCTTACTCCTGACCTCCATGGCCTATGACCGTTATGTGGCCATCTGCCACCCTCTCCACTATCCCAGCCGCATGAGTAGAAGAGTGTGTGCGAACATGATTGGAGGCTCTTGGACACTGGGGTCCATCAACTCCTTGGCACACACAGTCTATGCCCTCCATATTTCCTACTGCAGGTCTAGGGCCATTGACCATTTCTTCTGCGATGTCCCAGCCATGCTGCTTCTTGCCTGTATGGATACTTGGGTCTATGAATATGTGGTTTTTGTAAGTACAAGCTTCTTTCTTCTCTTTCCTTTCCTTGGCATCACTGCTTCCTATGGCCGAGTCCTAGTTGCTGTCTATCATATGCGTTCAAAAGAGGGAAGAAAAAAGGCCTTCACCACCATTTCAACCCACTTAACTGTAGTGATCTTTTACTATGCACCTTTTGTCTACACCTATCTTCGGCCCAGGAATCTCCGCTCACCATCCGAAGACAAGATCCTGGCAGTCTTCTACACCATCCTTACCCCCATGCTCAATCCCATTATCTACAGCCTGAGGAATAAGGAAGTGCTGGGTGCCATGACAAGAGTGTTTGCAATATTCTCTTTTCTGAGAGAATAATCATGGCTGTCCTACTCCCTTCTTATTTCCTCTTTTCTAGTTGATTCAAACACCTGAGTGCAGGGTTGTCCAATAGGCATGTAACATAATTTACAATTTTCTAGCAGGTACACTAAAGCAGTACAATTAATTTCAATAAAATATTTAATTCAAAACAATGTTATAATTAATATTAACAATAATTGATATTAATTACATAGCATACATTTTCAATGTTTTATGTGATATTTTGTAGTACACGTTTATACATATGTTACTACTAAGGTAATAATATTTATACTCATATATTGTCATATCATTTCTAAGTCACTATGATGGCAACACATCCTTGGGTGCTAAAAGGATTAGCCCAGCTGCTGTAGAGACAATGGGAGTAGAAGGGCCTAGAGCCCAAGCAGGACCACTGTGAGGAAACGAGTGTCATAATCCAGAGAGGCAGGATGGAGTTCCGACCACAGTTACAGCAGCAGTGCGGCCAGGACAACTGAACCCTAGACACTCCAAAGGCAGGACCAACAGGGCTTGCTGATGGGCTGGACCTGGGCTAGAGAAGTCAAGAGAGGACTCCATCAGACGCCTGGCCTTGGCATCAAAGGAATGGAGTTGCCATCCAGTGACATGAGATGCCTGTGGTGTTTGTTGCTGTTGTTGCTGTAGTCAGTGGGGAGACTTGGGGGAAAATTGGAGTTAAGTTTTAGGAATATTGAGTTTAAAATGTCTATTTTGATGTCAAGTGGAGAGCTGAATGTAAAGACTGGTATTCAGAGGAAAGGACAGAGAAAGCCAGGAAATAGGTACGGATTTAGAGGATCTTGCTGGTCATGAAAGAAAATTCCAGAGGAAACAGTGGAAATCTTTTCGGAGTTGGAGAGGGAAAGAGACAGGTCATCATAGGAGACACGCAAAGCTCTTTGAACTGAATGCAAGAGATGAAGACTCAGTTTGGTTACTGACTGACTTAAACCATAATAAAATGCACAGTGAGACAAGATTCAAGGGAGACAGCTGAGACCAGAATATTCCTGGGACTCTTGTTTCCCCCTATGAAGAGAGTGGAAGGCGTCTCGGTGAATGGGTGGTGCCCATGGAAGGGGCATCTCCAGCCACTGCCGTCATCCCTCCTCGTCCCCATGGGAAGAGCTACTGCTGAGCTGAAGCCCATCTTCTCCACATGGACCTTGTATGAGGGAGGCCTAGGGCAGGCATGGTCTGCGGAACACCAGCAAGAGGGACATACGGATGCATCATTCCCTCTGTTTGCAAAGCTGAGACAGAGAGACGTGTTCGCTCATGATCAGACAATTTAAAAAATCTGGAAAGAAAGCTACATTAGTAATATAACTGGAAGGTAAGTTAAGGATGTCAGTGAAAAAAAAAATCTCCCTGGAAAAGTATCTTGAACTTCAAATTGAGAAGGAAAAGTTAAACCTTCTGCAGATTATTAACAGATAATGTTAAATAATTTGCCATTAATTAATATTTGGTTAGCATTGAAGCATTTATCATTTAAGCATTTTAGCATTTGTGTAGCAACTATTTATAAGATACTGATATAAAGCAGGCAGCAAGGTTAGTCTTCAATAACTTTTAAGAATTTTGTTGGAGAGGTACAGAATCTACTTTAAAAACGTTAAATATTATCAACATTTCATAATCATCATCATAAAGTACTTAAATAGAAAAGCTGAATTCAAACCAGCAATATCAATTATAACCTTAAGTATACACTATAACACTGTGAGGCCAGTGTATCTGTTCCATGTTCAGGAACCATAATAAGCAGCTGAAAGAAAGACAGCTGTGTTGTTTGAAATCTTTTTTTTTTTTTTTTTTGAGACCGAGTCTCGTACTGTTGCCTGGGCTGGAGTACAGCGGCGTGATCTAGGCTTACTGCAACCTCCGCCTCCCAGGTTCAAGCTATTCTCCTGCCTCAGCCTCCTTAGTAGCTGGATTACAGGCACCTGCCACCCAGCGAATTTTTTCTATATTTTTTTTTAGTAGACATTTTTCACCATGTTGGCCAGGCTGGTCCTGAACTCCTGACCTTGTGATTTGCCCACCTCAGCCTCCCAAAGTACTGGGATTAAAGGCATGAGCCACTGCGCCCAGCCTTGAGGTCTTATAACTAGTAAATGTCTAGGTCAAACAACAAGTTGAATGAAAATTCTGATAAATTCTATTTAGAGTATATCCAAAGAAAAAGGAAAAAGTCTAGGAGTCAGTGATATTAGATTCAGAGGAATGAGCTTCATAATTCTTAAAAATTAGGTCCAGAATAAAAAGGATTTTTAAAGTAATTGAGTAACGTCATAGGCAATGTGAATGTATAAAGGAATGGCTCGAAATATATTAATTTAGAAGGAAACAACAGGTTAAACAATAAGAGGAAAGAAACAAGGAATGAGAGAGACAAAGAGCGAGAGTAACAGAAAGAGGGGGAAGGAGAGAATGAGAAGGAAAGTCAGGAAAAGGAGGAGAAACAGAATTATGGATGTGATACTGGAATAGTGTCAGACCATGCTGAATCCATGTTAATTCTTACATGAAAGATTTGGAATAAAAGGATATTAAAAGGTATAAAAAATGTTAAGGAATGAATAGAAATCCTTATGCAATCCAAGGTCATTAATTTGAAGGAAGTCTCGTCAAGAAAGTGAGATCTAGAAATACAGGCTGAGATTGCTCCATTTTTAAAATCATTATGCTCTATAATCTTCCCATATGCAAATATTTCATAGTCTTTCTTTTGTCCACAGCAACAAGGAATAAAGTGCTGGCCTAAACGGGGTATTTGTTAGTCCTGAGCATGTTGACATCCTTCACCCACTCCAGGAATGTTGGTCAGGCCAGGACTGCATCTTGGGAACAGAATTTTAGAGACGATCATGTCTTACATGAGAAGCAGGATCTAAATGATCCCCGGATGCCCAATTTCCTGACTCTGCCGCCGTCACAGGTGGCAAGGCAACAGGAGTTGCATCACAGATGAAAAAGTAAGGCCGAAGAACACCAGAGAAGAGCTGGTTGAATGTGTAGATATAAGAGCCGTTTGTGACATTGTAAAATGAGACTTCACCGGCTTCATAGTCCAAGAAAACCCCCACGCAGCGAGGACTTTCCAGTCGAAGGAGAGGCACTGATGGGGAGGCAAGGACCATGTACTCATCCCCTTTCAGCAGCCACAGGGCCCAGACCCCGTTCTCGGGAGACGGGGTGGTTTCCCCCTTTCTTGCCAGTGTGTCTTGACAGACCCCTAATCCCCACTCCGCTCTTTCTCCCACCTGCACCTCCCAGTAGTGCCTTCCCGATGAGAAGGACTGCAAACCCAGGACGCAAGGCCACGTGTCAAATCGCTCAGGGTTGCTGGGGACATCCCTCCACAGCTCTCCATCCTGCACACTGCGCAGGTCAGCAGTCAAGAGCAGACTGGGGTGCGCCGTGGCGGGATCCAGCTTTACATCCACTGTGGAAAGAATTTGGTGGAGCAGGTGAAAGGAAAGAAAGGACCGGTAGAAACTTAGGAAGCCGCTGCAAAGAATAGTCTCACAAATCCTCACTTTTCTCTAATAACTCCCAGAGAAAACAAATCAGTATTTCACCTTACAGGTGAAATACTCTTTATTACTTCATCATTCTTTATTCTGTATTACTGCCTGGTGTATTCCACTGTTTCCTCTGCATAACTCAGAACTCATTAACTTCCCCAATGAAAACAATTTGTGATGATCACAAAGCTAGTGCATAATCATTTAGTTTCATTTACATCTAATGCGTGCGTGTGTGTGTGGCGGAGTCTTACTATGTGGCCCAGGCTGGAGCTCAGAGGTATTTAGGGGCATAGCCATGTTACACTACAGCCTCAAACTCCTGCTCTCAAGGGATCCTCCTGTGTCTGCACCTAGAGTCATCTGGGACTCTAGCTGCACAGCACCATGTCTGGCTTACATCCAAAGCATTTGGGTACACATAGGAGGATCCTCTGCATTTAACATAAAATTTATAAACCCCTTAGGGATTTCTTTTTCTTAAAATCTATAGGAGAATTTTATTAACATGAAATCCACTACTTTCAAGATTATATTACTGTGGTAGGCAGAATTCTAAGACGGACCCCACGACCTTCACACCCTGCTGTTAGCCTCACGACTATGTTACATTACATGACAAGAGAGAGATTATCTAGCTGGGTCGAATCTAATCCCACAAGCTCTATAAAATCACAAGGTTTTCTCTGGCTACTGGGTTGGTGGCAGCAGGAAAGGTCAATGAGACATGGATTTGATATCTCTTTGCTGGCTTTGAAGAGAGAAAGGTCACACGAGGAGAAAGGCAAATGAGTTCTAGAGCTGAGAGTGCTCTCCAGAGCTGGAATGGCCCCCAACCAACAGCCAGCAAGAAAACAGGAATCTCAGTGCTGCCTTTGCATGGAATTGCATTATGCCAACAATCTGAATAAGCTCAGGGGTTAAGATTCTTCCCAGACCTACAGAGAAGCCTAGCCTAGCCAACACCCATATTTGGGCCTTGAGGAAACCTAAGCAGAGGAGTCAGCTGATCCCACCTGGATGTGTCTCCAGGACTGTGAGACACTAAATGGTTTGGCTTTAAGCACCTAAGCTTGCAGTGACTTGTTATATAACAATTTAAAAAATTGATACTGTGAAGTCCCAGCCAGACTGATGAGACATCTGACCCATATACATAATAAATAAACATGTCTAGATATGAAACTCAAGGAAGAAGGGAGAATGTAAAAATATTCAGTGGATTTCCTTATAAGCATTCCTCATAAGTAGTAAGTTAATTAATAGCACGGTTTGGATGCGTATCCCCTCGGAATCTCAGGTTGAAATGTGACTCAGCTTGCAAGAGCTGCTTGATTAAGAGGAACCTGGAAGCCCCCCACTTCACTGCTTCCTTTCTTGCCATGTGACATGCTGGCTCCCCCTTTGCTTTCCACCATGACTGGAGGTTTCCTGAGGCCTCGCCAGAAGCAGGTGCCAGCACAATGCTTCCTGTTCAGTCTACAGAACCAGGAGCCAAAATAAACCGCATTTCCCTATATTAACAAAATACCCAGCCTCAGGTATTTCTTTACAGCAATGCAAAAACAGACTGACATGTTACTATAGTTTGATTTTTAACATCAGAACAAATACTGCTTCTACTGCTACTGCTGCTGTCACACGACCACCCACTACTGCCACTGCCGCTACACTTATTTGCCTCTATACACTTCTAGTGAACTTTTTTTTCTTAATTGAGAAAGAACCTCGCTCTGTTGCCCAGTCTGGAGTGCAGTGGTGCAATCATGGCTCACTGCAGACTCCACCTCCCAGACTCAAGCAATCCCCCCACCTCAGCCTTCTGAGCAGCTGGGACTACAGGCATGCACCACCTTGCTCAGGTGGTTTTTGGTATTTTTTGTACAGATGGGGTTTTGCCATGTTGCCCAGGCTGGTTTGAAACTCCTGACCTCAGGTGATACGCCCATCTTAGCCTCCCAGTGTTCTGGGATTACCGGCGTGAGCCACCACGGCCAGCCTAGTAAACTCTTGCTGATATCCAACTTGAGTGGTCACATAACTGCTCACTGCATTATTTATATTAACTCATGCAACCACCCTGAGGGTCACCACGGTCATCCCTGCATTACACAAGAGTAGAGTCGGAGTCAAAGAATTGATGTGGTTTTCCAGACTCTAGAGGTGAATAACAGAGACTGGGAGGCAGGCCTCCACGGCATGTACATTTAACGTAGGTCGTGTGTCCCCACACCATTCCTGCTCCAGCACACCTGTCTGCTTCATTTCTAACAGAAGAGAAACGTGAAATGGCTTTTGACGTGGTCTATACCCCAGTCGTCTCCCTGCCCTTTCTCTCCTAAACTCAATTCTTCATCATAATATGACCATACTCTACCCAACTGCTCATGTCCATCCTCCCAGGGGCCTCCACACTGATGAATAGTTATTTGTCAGAGTTCATCTTAAATGATTTTTCTGTAGCTCACAACACTACTGAGAATCCATGTGCCCAAAAAAATCTCCCGTTTCCAAAGACAACACTCATCCGTGTCTCCCCTTCCTCTCTGCCCGCTACTCCTTGGCCGTTAGCTGGTCTCCTCCCCTCGTCCACCACCACTGGAGAAACCTGTGGTCCCAAGACTTGGACCTCGTCCTTCTCTCTCAGCTCACCCCCTATCTACCCCAGGCTTGGCTGGCTCATTGCTCTGATGAAGTTCCATTCATAGGCTGACTGATTCTCAATGCAGGTCCTTGGGTTTGACCTTACCCTGAAACTCCGTATCGTACATTCCTCTGTTTACCTGACATCAATATGTGGATATTTAGCACTCACCGCAATATCCACGTGTCCAAAACCCAACCTCCTCCTGCTTCAGCGGCAGCTTTCCTCATCAATCTAAGTGACAACCACATTTGCCAGTTTGCAAGCTCCAAAACCTTGGAATCATTCCTGGCTGTTGTTTTTTATGGCGCATCATATGTAATCCAACAGCAGATCTTACCAACTCTGCCTTCAGCGTGTAACAACGATCTGTCCATCTTGCGGCACCTTCAGTAACAACATCTGTTCCAACGTAATCATCTCTCACCAAATTACTCCAAAGACCCTTATCTGTTTTTCCCATGTCAATCTTCTCCTTTCTGTAAATTACTTACAAGAAAGCATATAGAGTGATCCTCACAGAACATTAGTCCAAACTATTTTTTTTTTTTTTTTTTTTTTTTTAGACAGAGCCTCAATCTTGTCGCCCAGACTGGAGAGCAGTGGCACGATCTCAGCTCACTGCAACCTCCATCTCCTGGGTTCAAGCAATTCTCCTGCCTCAGCCTCCCAAGTAGTTGGGTGTGGGCTAATTTTTATATTTTTAATAGAGACAGATTTTCACCATGTTGGCCAGGCTGGTCTCAAACTCCTGACCTCAGGTGATCTGCCCACCTTGGCCTCCCAAAGGGCTGAGATTACAGGCATGAGCCATCGTGCCTGGCCCAATCATCTTTCAGTGATGTCCTATTTCACTCAGGGATAAAGTATCATACTCAGAGTGGCTTGCCTACCTAGCCCTTCCTTGGTCTCTCCAACCCTCCTGTCATTTACTCTGCCAGAGAGTCCTCACACTGACATCCTCATGGCTCATGGAACACACCTGCCATCCTCCATGTCAGGCCTTAGTGCTCATTTCTACTGCCTAAATGCTTTCTTCCAGATCACATGCTTGCTGGGTTTTCCGCTACAGGCCAAGGTCTTCCCTGGTCACCTTATTCAAAACTAGAACTTCTTGTTACGCTTTTCACACTCCTTTTTATTTTCCTCAATATCCTGTATCATCTGCTTACAGTCTGTGTATTTTGATTAAGTAAGTATCTGCACACAAAGCTATGGATTGTAGTGGATTTTGTTGCTGTTGTTGAATGATAGATTCCAACGTTTAAAGAATGGATGAGATAAAATGAATAACACATTTTGAATTGATTATTTCATTCAATAGCAATACATATTGACATGAGGTTACCGTGACTGATGGTGCCATAACTTTAATCAAGTCAGGCATTTAGTACATATTCATCTGACCACGAGAACGTGGGTAGTATGGTGAGGAGATGGGTTTTCTCATTAAGGGGACATTACAGTCTTTCTCTGTAAGTAGTGAAGTCACCATTCAGACATAGTCTATTTTCATTACTTGAGATAAATTAGATTTTAAAATGAAATTTTAAAAAATACTGAATCTATACTGTCTGAAAAAATAACACAATCAGACTGAACAAACTAAATTTTTGTGACACTGCTTATTCCTACGTAAAAATAATTGACAATATTTTTGGCTTTATTGACTGATTCAAGCGAATCGTCAAATTCTCAGCCAGTAAATTAAACCAAACTTCTTGTTAATTAATAACTGCAATGCTTTCATATTGATGACTTTCAGGAGGTGGGGTGCTTTCAAGTGTTTCATTTTGTCCTCCAAACAATTTTTTTTAGCATTTTATAAACAAGGAAAAATGGAAATTTACTGGGCCTAACATTGCTCATATCACAGCAGATAGGAGATAAGCTACAATTTTGCACCCATTCTTCCAACCAAATATAGACTCTATGGGTGGCCGTGACTCTGATGTTGTTCATGAATACACCGATCCTCATTATTCCGGCATCTGCACTCTCCCACTGAAGGAGGCCAGGGAATTTCACCCTAAAATACGGCACCCTGGTAAACCCATTATTTTAAAGTGAAGGTCCTTGGAGACCAGCACACACTGGAGGAAGCTTTATTCCAAAAGTGATTTATCTGCCTGAAGTCCCTGTGCTCTTAAATAATGTAGCTCATACTGCAGGAAGACAGACTTAGTCTGTGAACACACCTGGACAAACTTCAGTCACAAACCACTGTCGACTTTTCAACAGACTTTGTCCCAAGCCACTGTATGTACACCAAGCCCAAAGAATCCTCGAAAAAAATCATTTACTATCCCCCTAAAATCACCCACACCTCCCCATCTTCCTTTCCTCTGATAAAGAAGGTATGTAACCATCCGTACCCCACTGAGTTACTGGGTAATTACTCTCCTGCAGTTCCACTGTGCTATGAATGTTAAAAACTTTTCTATGCCTGTGTTCCTATTTGTCTTTGGTCAGCTGATTTTCAGCAAACATTCCCAGGGAAAGGGGAAAGTTCTGCCTTGCCCTCTATACTTCTCCTCTACAGACTGGCATAGCCATGAGATCTCAGGAAGGCCACATGCCCCCATTCAGCGTGGGCGCCTTTAAGGGCAGTGCATGAGTCATCACACCATTGATACTGTGAAGGGTATATTTGGTCTACATCCTGTTTACTGACATACAGTTCTTAAAATCCTTGGAATTTCCAGAAAGACGAGTGTCTTTTGTATGCTAGTGGGATGACTTAGAGTTGGTGACCCCCAGACGGCCCCCCACTGGGTGTGGGTTACCAGGGGTCCCAGCCACGTGATTACAGGCTGGAAACTTTCAGTCCTGTGTGCCATGCCCCCACCCACCTCTGAATAAGAGAAGGGTGGGTTGATAAACCAATGGCCTATGACTTAATCAATCATGTCTACATAGTGCTTCCATAAAAAGTCAAAGAGGCCAGGTGCGGTGGCTCATGCCTGTAATCCCAGCATTTTGGAAGGCTGAGGCGGTGGATCACGAGGTCAAGAGATTGAGGCCATCCTGGCTAGTGAAACCCCATCTCTACTAAAAATACAAAAATTAGCTGGGCATGGAGGCATGCGCCTGTAGTCTCAGCTACTCTGGAGGCTGAGGTAGAATTGCTTGAACCTGGAAGGCAGAGGTTGCAGTGAGCCAAGATTGCACCACTCCACTCCAGTGAGACTCCATCTCAAAACAGAAACAAAAACAAGCAAAAGAACTGAGTCCAAGGAGTTCCAGGGAGCTGAACGCATGGCGGTTCTGAAGGCGGCACGCCTGGAGGGTGTGAAGCTCCGTACCGCTTCTCACAAACCTCGCCCTGTGAATCTCTCCCAGCTGTTCACTTGTATCCTCTGTAACACCCATTATAATGAGTGAGTAAATATGTGTCCCTCAGTTCTGTGAGCTGTTTCAGGAAATTAGGTGAACTCAGGAGGTCATGGGAACCCCAATTTACGGTCAGTTGGTCAGATTCACAGGCCACAACCTGTGCTTGTGACCAGCATCTGAAGTGGGGTCAGTCTGTAGGACTAAACCCTCAACCTGTGGGACCTGATGCCATCTCCAGGTAGATAGTGTCAAAATCAAATGGCAGGGAAGGACTTCTGGCTGGAGCGTCTGCTGGAGAACGGACTGGCTGTTTGCAGGAGAAATCCCCACGTTTTGGTGACCAGAAGTGATATGCTGTATTGGTGCTGTAAAGAGAACTTCTTCCCCCATCCCTTTAATAACCTGGCCCTTGCCTATGGCTCCCAGCACCAGCAGGGAGGTGGAGCTCTGTCAGCATGGGTCCCAGAGTGAGGAGAGGTCCCACAGAAGGCCCCACACCCAGAAACAAACCAACAGCACACTCTCAAAATAAATCTCCCTGATGTGGGCCACTGAGACTTCAGGTTCTGTCGGTCACTGCGGCTGACTGGCAAACCCCAGGTACTGAATTGCCAATCCCCAAACTGCAAACTACCTTGGAACTTCCTCAGCATTTCCCTCCTCCCGGGGATGCGACATGCTGTCCTTAGTTCCATGGGGATGTTCTCTGCTTCCAGCCTTGTCACAGTCTTACTTCTGAGAAGAGCACAGAAACCACAGAAGTCAGCAGTGTTATCCACCAGCTCCTCTGCCTCTCCCAATCCCGTCACCAATTCAGAAAGCAGACATACCTGCTCAGGACTCCTCTTACACCCTGAAAAGGAAAGAAAAACACAAACAGCATGAGCTGAACCTCCAAATTGCTTTTCACAGTCAGACTAGGGACACCATGAAAATTTCCTTAGAAATTAATGGAAAACATTAACAATTAAGATAAAATTATAGGGCATAATAAAACTCTTTTCTCTTCTTTTTTTTTTTTTGAGATGGAGTTTCACTCTTGTTGCCCAGGCTGGAGTGCAACGGCGCAATCTTGGCTCACTGCAACCTCTGCCTCCTGGGTTCAAGCAATTCTCCTGCCTCAGCCTCCCAAGTAGCTGGGATTACAGATGCCCACTACACGCCTGGCCAAAATTTTTTTGTATTTTTAGTAGAGATGGGTTTCACCATGTTGACCAGGAGGGTCTCGAACTCCTGATCTCAGGTGATCCACCCACCTCAGCCTCCCAAAGTACTGGGATTACAGGCATGAGTCCCGTGCCTGGCCAAATCTCTTTCCTTTAAAGCCACACAAAATTTAGGTTAATTCCTGTAATATCTATCAATTTATCTTCTGAATTAATAATTCTGGCACTTGGATATTGCAGCAATTCAGACGGAATAGGATAAAATAGATCCTAAGAACTTGTTGAATTTATTTGAGGGGCAGGGATAGGTTCCTCAAATAAAGACACAAAATGTTTCCCTAAATGTCTTTATAAGAATTACAAATTCCTAATCCTTTGAACCAACAGACCAGAGCCATTCATATGGAGTAGGTTACCTCAGTATATTAAAAAAGGAAGCCTTGAATAACTGGCAAGTTTTTCTCAAAGTAGATTATTAAATAAATATAACTGTGATACATTTATTATATTAATAATTGTATTTGGGATACATTTCCCCTCCCCCCTCAGAAAGAGTCACCAGTCAGATAAGTCCTGATGGCATAAAAACAGGGAAAAAGTTTGCTTTACCCTGTATGGGAATGTCAGGCCTTGGTCCTGGCCTTTGGGGATAAAATGTAGCTCATTAGTACCAGGGAAGAAAGGGAAAGGGAAGTGTAAAAATATATAGCCTGGGCAACACGACCAAGCCTCATGTCTACTAAAACTTTTTAAAAAATTATCTGGGCATGGTGGTGCCTCCTGTAGTCCCAGCTACTCGGGAAGCTGAGGCACAAGGATTGCCTGATCCTAGGAGACTGAGGCTGCAGTGAGCTATGATCATGCCACTGCACTGCAGCCTGAGTGACACAACGAGATCCTGCCTTTAAAAAAAACAGATACATTATTCAAGAATTTATCCTCCCTATAATTTGTTTAGATACATTATTCAAGAATTTATCCTCCCTATAATTTGTTTTATAACATCTATTTGGTGGTAAACTGCTAAATTTAAATAGGTTGTTACATGAGACATGGTGAGTTAAGGCAATAAATGTTATTGTTGAAACTGTCAAGCCGGACACGGGGGCTCATGCCTGTAATCCTAGCACTTTGGGAGGCCAAGGTGGGTGGATCACCTAAGGTCAGGAACTCAAGACCAGCCTGACCAACATGGCAAAACCCTGTCTCTACTAAAAATACAACAACAACAACAAAAATTAGCCAGGTGCAGTGGCACATGCCTGTAATCCCAGCTACTCAGGAGGCGGAGGCAGGAGAATTGCTTGAGCCCATGAGGTAGAGGTTGCAGTGAGCCAAGATCACACCACTGTACTCCAGGCTGGGCAACAGAGTGAGACTCTGTCTCAAAAAAAAAAGAAAGAAAGAAAGAAAGAAACTGTCAAAGTTCTTGTGTTTATTTGCTATCTGCTATTTAGAAAATCAACTCCTTTCTGACTCTAGTTTACTAACAAGGAAATGAACATACAATAATAGCAAAATGTATATATATGCATATATATATATAAAAGGTAAAGAGACAAATTAAACTGCTTTATAAATTCATTCATTTAATGCTCCCCTGCCACATAACCAGTACTGTTTAGTCACTGTACTTGCAAATATTACACAATTAATATGATTATGTCTATTCATGGTCTTTCAGTGTCTAGAACTAAGTCTGAAAAGGTAGAATCTGTGGGTCGGCTGTTAAATGAGAGCAGGAATCACTTAGTTTAGAACTCCCTGAATGAGTCATTGGGGAGGAGACAGAAGTCGGCCCAGACAGGCTGGGTGCAGTGGCCCACATCTGTAATCCCAGCACTTTGCGGGGCTGAGGCAGGCAGATCACCTGAGGTTGGGAGTTCAAGACCAGCCTGACCAAGATGGAGAAACTCCGTCTCTACTAAAAATACAAAAAATTAGCCTCGCTGGTGGCACATGCCTGTAATCCCAGCTACTAAGAAGACTGAGGAAGGAGAACTGCTTGAACCCAAGAGGCGGAGGCTGTGGTGAGCTGAGATCATTTCATTACTACACTCCAGCCTGGGCAACAAGAGCAAAACTCCATCACCAAAAAAGGAAGTCACCCAGATAAATTTCTGTTGCCATTGATTCTATCAAGAAAACACAGATTCATCAAGAACTTTGGCTTTCGCTGTTCACTGGGATAGGATGTCTTCACAGAGGATTAAAAGCAAAGATTTCCTTTCACTGTTACTTGTCTTTCTGTTTTCTAATCCCAAACAGATTGGGAGCAAACTGCACGGGAGTCCACATAACCCCTCCTCACCATGCCTGGAATGGGCATGCAACGTGGGCCAGGAAACAAGTGTTTGCTTTACAATCCAGTGTAACAGTTTCGAGCTGGACAATTTAACCCTTATTCACCCTTCTGGCTGTGACACTGAAATGTGTCATGCAGACTTTCTGGGTGAGCCATCACTGAAAAACTGCAGTGCCATCGTGACAACCTGACTGTGAGGCTGCAAGAAGCACTTCTCAGCCAGCAGAGGGCAGCCTGTCCTCCTCGCTGTCCACATTCTCAGAAGTCATTAAATTAATTTTAATTGTAAAAATTCTTTCGTCCTTAATATGAACTATATGCTGTTTGTTTGTTTTTTGAGAGAGGGTCTTGCTGTGTTGCCCAGGCTGGTCTCAATTTCCTTGGACCAAGCAATCCTCCTGTCTCAGCTTCCGTAGTAGCTGGAACTGCTGGCATGTGCCACCATGCCAGATTCAAACTATATGATTCTCTAGAATCTCACGATTCTGAGTAAATTCTAGGGTGTTAAAGCTGCCTTCTGAGAAATTCTAGGGTGTTGAAGCTGCCTTCTGAGAAATTCTAGGGTGCCCGTTTCCTAAAGAACATAAATGCCGAAGTGTGTCTCTGAAAGCCACTGTCCTTGTCTCCCTCGTCAGTCTCACATCTGCCTGCTTTTCTGGCACCCGGCCTCACCTCCAGCAGACCCAGGGCTGGGCGCTGGCACCTCTCCTCCAGCTCATCTGCCAGCTCCTTCAGGGCCTTGTTCTGCTGGGCCAGCCGGCCCCTGCTCTCACGCAGTCTCTGCAGGGTCACTCGCTCCTCCTCCTCCAGCCGCCGCAGCTGCAGTTGCTCCTCCTGTGCCAGAAAGCCACGATGCTTCTCAAACTCCAAGCGGAAGCGCTGCCTCTGCATTTCCACTTTCTCCTGAGGTGACACAGTGGGTCACGTCATCACACTTGGCCTCCTGCAGCTGTGTACAGGACGATGCTGGGGAAGGCAACGTCCAGCGTTTCCTGAGCCCCGTAACTCTGTGGACTGACTGGCTGCATTCCAACAACATGGGCAGACTGCAGTCCATTCAGATAAGAAGCAGCCCAGTAGAGTTTTCTTTTTTTCTGAGACAGAGTCCCACTCTGTGACCCAGGCCGGAGTGCAGTGGCACGATCTTAGCTCACTGCAACCTCCACCTCCCGAGTGCCAGTGATTCTCCTGCCTCAGCCTCCCAAGTAGCTGGGACTACAGGTGTGCACCACCACGCCCAGGTGATTTTTTTTTTTTTGTACTTTCAGTAGAGACGGGGTTTCATCATGTTGGCCAGGCTGGTCTCAAACTCCTGACCTCGTGATCCACCAGCCTCAGCCTCCCAAAGTGCTAGGATTACAGGCACGACCCACTGTGCCCGGCCAAATTTTCAAACTAAGGTTTAAAAAATACTGTTGGACTGGGGTTCCCATTTTGCCATAGGCTTTGGGGTGAGGCACTGGGGTGAGGTATTCAAGTTTCAGTACCATATACAAAATGTGAGATTTCAGGGAAGTTGAGGCAGGAGGATTGCTTGAGGCCAGGAGTTCAAGATCAGCCTGGGTAACAAAGCAAGACACAACCCCATCTCTAAAAAAATTAAAATCAACTAGCTGGGCACGGTGGTAAGCTCTGTAGTTCCAGCTACCCACAAGGCTGAGGTGGGAGGATCACTTGAGCCTAACAGCTCGAGGCTGCAGCAAGCGATGACTGCACCACTGCACTTCAGCCTGCACAACAGAGCAAGGCTCCATCTCTTTAAAAATGTGGGGAAAAGAAGAATATGTGGATTACAGTTAAATAGCTGTTAAACTGCAAGAACAGTGATTAGCACAGAGCAGTCACACAACAGAAGTTACTATTTACCAGTAGATTACTCACTCTATAGAACCACTCGAAACAACTGAATTTTGAAGAAATATTAGAGACCTAGAATAGTTTGAATAAGAAAGGCCTAGAGATGAGAAAATATGAATGCTGTTTCATAATGGTAATAGTGCACAACCATAAGCCTAACGTTCTCTACAAAGCCAAGAAAGAACCAAGCGATGCTCAGGCCACGGACGGTTCCAGAGTTCCCGTCAGGGAATTACTCCTGACTGCTACCCAACTCTCACGTCTACGGTTTCTGAATAGACCCAAGGAACATACTTTGTCACAGGCTTATTTGGTAGATTTTCTTCTCTCAAGGTGAGTATATAAGAAACTAACTTTAAACTGAGTTTGAGAGGCAAATCATTCCCTCAAAGTACCTAAACCTCGGATTCTCTTTCCTGTTATATTGATTGCATTTTTTGTATATATTCATGGAGTACAAATGCAGTTTTATTACATTGTTATATTGCTTCGTAGGTGAAGTCATTTGCCTGTTTTTAAACGTGGTTAACTTCTTCCTTTGACTAAAAGGCAGAAGCTATCGCCTTTTAAACTCTAAACACCCCCGAAGACTTAACTCCTTCCTTCCATTTCCCATCTCTACTTCCTTCTACCATTTTTTTTTTTAAGATGGAGTCTGTCACCCAGGCTGGAGTGCAGTGGTACAATCTTGGCTCACTGCAAGCTGTACCTCCCAGGTTCAAGCGATTCTCCTGTCTCAGCCTCCTGAATAGCTGGGATTACAGGCACCTGCCACTATGCCCAACTAATTTTTGTATTTTTAGTAAAGACAGGGTTTCACCATGTTGATCAGGCTGGTCTCAAACTCCCAATCTCAGGTGATCCTCCTACCTCAGCCTTCCAAAGTGCTGGGATTACAGGCATGAGCCACCATGCCTAGCCCCTTCTACAATTTTCTAGATCACTAGATTCAGAAGACTTCACCTTGTTTCTGAAATCAGTCAACTCTGAATTCCACGTGGTGATTCCTGAAAGATGTAACTCATGTAAATACGAGAAGCTCTCTTCATATCAGAGGCTGTGCCGTTGTGGGGTGGGGCAAGTAACCCAGCCGCTAGAAAAGAGTAGAGTCATACCTGGGGCGTGAGGGAGGGTGTGGTGGGAAGCGATTTGCCTGCAATTCATCTTCCTTTCACACCACCCTCTTGAGCACAACTATATCTGCAGACAGAGAAAGAGGAAAGGTTGTTCTGTGGTATTTAGGGTACCTTTTTACCAAACATGTGCTTGCTCCACTTGGCTCACACAGATACATTCCTGATGGTAATAATCACGAAAGTTTACCTGGCTTAGAACAGGGATCTTAGTATCACCCCTACTTAAGAATAATGCACAGAGGGTTTAAAGCTTGCAGAAACTCAGACCTCCGAATATGGGGATTCTGATTTTATAGATCTGTGGTCAGGCCAGGGTTGAAAACAATGGACTTGTATTTAAGCCTGAAAAGAACAAACATTATTAATCAATATTACAATATTAAATAATGTACATCCTATCACTAGGTACATGATATGTCAATAATGTACATTATTTAATATTGTAAAGATTTGTTCTTACTCTTTTTATCTCTACTGCCACTACCCAATCCAAACTATGCTTTACTAGCTTGCCCTTACTGTAAAACACACTGTCATGTCCCTATCACCTAGAATTGCTTCTTATACTGTCACTACTAGTTTAAAAATAGTTGTCAATAATATTGATAAACAAGATTGTCAGTATTAACATTAGTAAGTTTTACTATTTCTTCACACTTCTGAGTAACGTTACGTACTGATGTTATTAACATCAATATTATTTAATATTGATAACTTTTATCCGTTCCTACCACTATGCACATTATTTACCTATAATGTTCATTTTCTTCTGGGATAAGTGTTACCTTTTCCTATCACTATGTATATATATTATATCTAGTAATGTAGCAAATGTAGAAAAATGTAGTTAAAAAATAGTCTTTATGGCCAGGCATGGTGATTCACACCTGTAATCCCAGAACTCTGGGAGGCCGAGGCAGGTGGATCACAAGATCAAGAGTTCAAGACCAGCCTGACCACAATAGTGAAACCCCGTCTTTACTTAAAAAAAATACAAAAATTAGCCAGGCACAGTGGCAGGTGCCTGTAATCCCAGCTACTCAAGAGGCTGAAGCAGGAGAATCACTTGAACCCAGGCAGCAGAGGTTGCAGTGAGCCAAGATCACACCACTGCACTTCAGCCTGGGCGACAGAGTGAAACTCCATCTCAAAAAAAAAAAAAAAAGTCGTTATGTAGTATCTCTGTAAACATGGAATATAAGACTAAATTTTCAAAGAAAAGAAGGAAAGAATTAGAAATATATAGAGTGATCAGAAAAGAAGGGTTATTTGGAAAAGGAGAAAGAATAGGAATGAATATTCTGTCAAGTATAAACTCTTATATATATCGTATTATATAATACACTATATGAATATATAGAACTACACACACAGTTTCTACATAGAGTTTCTCAATCTTGACACTATAGCCATCTTGAACAGATGGGTTTTTCTTGTAAGTTATGGGGACTGTCCTGTGGACTACAGGGTGTTAAACTGCATTCCTGCCTGCACTAGATGATAGGTGTACGGCACCCACCCTTCCTCAGCTGTGACAACCAAAAATATCTCCAGATATTGCAAAATGTATCTAAGGTGGGGGGGTCACCCCAGATTGAGAATAACTGTGTGTATGTGAATCACTGTGTGTGTGTATACACGAGTGCATACGCATGTGCATAAACAAAACATTAAGGGAATAAAAAGAGCTGTTGAGGTGTAAAAAAGATGGAATATGTGTATATACAGATGACCAAAAAAAGGCTACATGTTCAGATTATTCCCTGTATATACGATGATCATCTTGTGCTGTACAAAGTTGTGAAATCTTCATTATTTCATTCGCCTAACAAATATTTTCAAACTAAGTGACAGTAATGACAGTATAAGATGTTATTCTATGTGACAGGGATACAGCAGTGAGTTTCACAGTAAGATCAAGCTAGTAAAGCTACGAGTTACAATTTGGATTGGGTGATGGCAATAGAGACCAAAACAACACAAATGAACCATATCATTTGAGGGGACAGGGATGATCCAGGACGGCCCCAAGATGTGCTTCTTGAGCATCTACAGAGATGGAACCAAAGTGCTGGAGAATGGATGATGCTGGAAGACGTACTGATCCAAATCTGGATCCTTCAAACACACAAGCCTCCTAAGGCCCCAACATGCTCTTACCTTCCAAACGACAGTCTTTTTCCCCAGGTCGGCCTCCAGAGCCAAGGCCTCCTCCATCTCTTTCCTCACAAGTTCCAGAGCCATCTGGAGCTGTACCTGTTTGGGAAGATACTCCAAAGCTGTTACAGATGCCTGACGTCAGTCAGTACCTTACGTCACTCAGATGTGTGAGGAAATACAAAGATCAACTTCAACAGTCCCCAGAAAGTACATAAAAATGTTCAATATCATTAAAAACTAAACGAATGGATTTTAGTTTTAGAGTCAGGGTCTCGCTCTGTCACTCAGGTTGTTATGCAGTGCTGCGATCATGGCTCACTGCAGCCTCCAACTCCTGGGCTCAAGTGACCCTCCCACCTCAGCCTCCCAAGTAGCTAGGACTCCAGGCACACATCCTTATACCCAGTTAATTTTGTTTTCTGTAGAGATGGGGTCTCACTATGTTGTCCAGGCTGACGTCAAACTGCTGGCCTCCAGAGAATGCCCCATTTTGGTCTCAATGTGCTGGGATTACAGGCATGAGCCACGATGCCTACCTCCCTAAATGTATTTTAATGCCAGATACAATCAAATATTTATCTAAAAGTATGCTCACTGCATCACTATATATGATAGAATGACTAAAATGTTAAAAATAGGGGAGAAAAAAACTTACATTAATAGCATAGAATTAAAATAAGACATTACAGAATGTTTCATGACAAGAAATAAAATGATAACATCAATAGATAAGAATATTTTACAAAACAACATTAATTTAAAAAAAGTGCTTGTAATGGATATATTGAAACTGGGCTGATGTAAATGACAATGATATTAGATGAAATGCCATCTATTGGTGTTTCGATGAAGAGTGATGCTATTGTATCTCCCTATATTTCGACTTCTTGAAGTTATTACTTTATGATAAAACAAGGGTTTATTATTGTATTATTAGTAGTACTATTAGGTGAAAAGAAACTTGGTAGGTTAACACATTTCATATGAAAACATACAATATATTTTAAATCTTACGATAGGTAAAAATACAATGGGAACCAAATCTCCCTTTAATGATAGGGCCCTCGCTAGAGGTAAATGTGTGTATTTTATTTACAGAAAATACCCACAAAGATACATATAAAAAGAGGCTTTTAATTTAAAAATTCTATTCTCAAAATTACTCAATAAATCCTACATACACATCAATTGTTTTTAAAAGGAGCATATTATAATTGTTATACATAAAATACAGTAGAATTCATGATATCATTTGACCCAGTCGGGGAAGTAGCATTTGTTTTGGTGTTTACAAAGAACGGAGCACTTTGACACTTGTAGATAGAGAAAAGCTCCCTGAGGCCAAACAAACTGTCAGCAACAGCAAGCAGATGTGGCACAGTTAGGACAACAGTGATTCGGCTGAATTTGTTGGGTCTCCTGGTTAGTTAAGACAGGAGCCATAGAAAAATAACTCACGGCCCTAGAAAGCTTTCACTGACAGGCTCAGGAGTTTAGATAATATGTATTTGGTATTTCACTGAATCACTACTGAAAATACAGAGAACACCTTTAGCAATATTACACTAGAGGCCCGGGGCGGTGGCTTACTCCTGTTATCCCAGCACTTTGGGAAGTGGAGGTGGGCGGACCAGGAGATCAAGAGTTCAAGACCAGTCTGGTTAACATGGTGAAACCCCGTCTCTACTAAAAATACAAAAATTAGCTGGGCGTGGTGGTGTGTGGCTGTAATCCCTGCTACTCGGGAGGCTGAGGAAGGAGAACTGCTTGAAACCGGACCGGGAGGCGAAGGTTGCAGTCAGCGGAGATCACCCCACTGCATTCCAGTCTGGGCTACAGAGCACGACTCCGTCTCTCCGTCTCAAGAAAAAGAAAGAAAAGAAGAAGAAAGAAGAAAGAAGGAGGAGGAGGGGGAGGAGGAGGAGGAGGCGGTGGGGGAGGAGGAGGAGAAGGAGGAAGAAAAGAAATGTTACACTAGCAATCTTCTGTACGGTGTTTTCTGGATTTAAAAAAAAGCCAAGAACATACCGCAAAAGTCTAGCTAGAAATTAGTACCTAAATCTCTCAAATGACCAAAATCAAGAAGAAATAACGGGAGACATTGGTAGATGCAGAGAGAAGGGGAAAATATTCTAAACCTTAATTTAAAACAATCAAACGAAATAAATAAAAATGTTAAGAAAGCTAGTATTTCAGTGCATTACAGCGTTGACAGCCCTGTGGTGAAATATGTCAGCAGATTAAAGACGACTTAGAACAAGCCCAATCAGAAGACGAGGGGGCTTGCCGGACAGGCGGCCAGTCTCAAACCGTGGGCGTGCGCGCTGCAGAACAGGGGTCGCAAAGCGGGTCCCCACAGCAGAGGCCAGGGAGCCTGAGCTGCGCGTGCGCCGCGGGGGCCGGTGGCGGGCGCCGGGCGGGTACAGGGCTGTGGGAGCCGCTGGAGCCCGGGGCGGCCCCGACGGCTGCGCACTGGACGGCCACCCGCGTCTCCCGCTCCCGGCGCTCGCTGACCCCGCCGGGGGGCGCCCTCACCTGGTAGCGGCCGGCGGCGTCCTGCAGCGGCGCGGTGGGGTGCGTGGCGTGCTCCGGGCTGGCGTCGCACACCCAGCACAGCGCCGCGCCGTCCTCCTCGCAGAAGCGGCTGAGGTCCTCGTCGTGCCGCGCGCACCTCCGCGCCCCCGCGGGCCCCACGGACCCCGCGCCCAGCCCCAGCCGCCGCACGCTCTCCACCAGGCCCGCCAGCTGGCGGTTGGGCCGGAAGCCCGCGGGCCGGAAGGGGCCCCGGCACTGCGGACACGCGTAGACGCCGCCCTGCGCGCTGTCCGACCTCTCGCAGAACTCGGAGATGCACCCGAGGCAGAAGCTGTGGCCGCAGTCCACGCTGACCGGCTCCTGCAGGAAGTCCAGGCACACGGGGCACCGGGCCTCGTCGCGCAGCCGCTCCGCGGGCGGCCCCGCGGCCATGACCGGCCTCCGCGACCGCCTGGGGCTGCCCTCCTCCCTGCGTCCGCGCGGCCGCGCTATCTCCGCTCGGGCTCGGGCTCGGGCGCGGCAGGGAGGAGCCCCACGCCGCGGGACCAGCAGGCGCGGGTGGGCGGTGGCCGCTGGCTCCAGTTAAAGCTGAGACGAGCCACTCCGGTGAAAGCTGCTGCCCAGGCCCTCCCCACGGCGACGATAAAACTAACCGTCTGGGTCACATCCCGCCTCGCTCCCCAGGACACTGAGCGCTTCTAACTGGAATCCCTCGTGCTGCACCTTCACTGTCTGTAGATTTGGAGAATCACTAAACTCTTCCTTCCATCTTTTTTTTGAGAAGGAGTCTTGCTCTGTTGCCCAGGCTGGAGTGCAGTGGCGCGATCTCGGCTCACCACAGCCTCCACCTCCCTCAAGCAATTCTCCTGCCTCAGTCTCCCAAGTAGCTGGGATTACAGCTGTGCACAACCATACAGGGCTAATTTTTGGATTTTTAGTAGAGATGGGGGTTTCATCACGTTGGCCAGGCTGGTCTTGAACTCCTGACCTCAGGTCATCCGCCTCCCTCGGCCTCCCAAAATGCTGGGATTAAGGCATGGGCTACCGCGCCTGGCCTCCATCATTATTAAACAGATTCTGTACAGATTTCTGGGGTACCAGTGCAGTATTTTTACTTGGATACATTGCATAAAGTCTAGGCTTTAGTGCAGCGGTGGCTCTAATCCTGTACATTGTTCTTATTAAATGATCTCCTCCTCACCCACCTTCCACCCTCCGAGTCCCTTTCATTGTTACTGAGCTAGTGGTCCTCTCATGCCTTTCATTTCTAAAAGCCTTTTCCCCTTTATATGGCATAATCACTCTTCAAAATGTTTTCTTTCAAACTTCATTTTTTCTCTTACACTAATTACCTCTTGATAAAGACATGACACCGCTTGACCCGGGAAGAGGCCTGCCTCGTGTGTATAATCACAGGTTTGTAGGCCAGCAGAAAACAAATCTAAATATTTCAATAAATATCTGGCCTTGTTCAACGAGGGTCCCATAAGGAATACACATGTGTTTTAGGATTGTTGCAAAGCCAGTCTTGGAGATGACAAAGCTGTAGAGATTATCGGAAGGAATAATTCAAGCTTAACGTCTCAGTGACAGGAGCAAAATGATTTCACAGAGAGTATGTTACTTCATCCAATGGTAGGACTAAAGTCTCTAATGTCCAGAAAGGAGACAAGTCTGGGGCAGTGTCTGCATCTGTGCAAAATAACTTCAGTATGGCTGAGTTTAAAGTGATGGTGGGTATGCCTCTGGCAAATCAATCCGTCCCTGAGCACACATTGCGTTTGTTTGTGGCCAGGAGCCTCAGACATTGCTCCAGGTACTGAAAGCACACATGTTAAGGAAAAGAGGTAGGACTCCATTTCTCAAGGAGCCTTAAGATCAACTAGAAGAGGTGGATATGAAGTCATGCAAACATACAATGATGAACTAATAACTTCAAGGAAGGCCACTCACCAGTCCTGCAGGAATAGAACAGAGGACTCTGAACTAGGCTGCAGGGTCCGGGGCAGACTCCTGAGGCCTCTGAGCTAACCTTTGACAGGTGAACACAAGCTGGAAAGCCGGAAGTGGGACTCCACAAGGCCATGCACCCAGAAGGCATGAAGGGCACAGGATAAATGTCAGCAGGAGGGAGCAAGGCATACCCAGATGACACAAGAAGGCCAGGCAGGCTGGCAGGTGGGGCCAGACTGGTGGCAGCAGATAAGGCTGCAGTGAGAGGCCCGGCCAGATGACTCATGTTCTTGGGGATCCTGTGGGTTTATGGGTCTTTATTATAAGGACAAAGTCTTGGCCTGGATCTCTGGTGGCAGCCAGAGCAAAGGATTTTGAGGCCTTCTGCCTAAAGTTTAAGTGCATAATTTATTTTTTATTTTTTGAGACAGAGTCTCCCTCTCTTGCCAGGCTGGAATGCAGTGGCATAATCTCAGCTCACTGCAACTTCTGCCTCCCAGGTTCAAGCAATTCTCCTGTCTCAGCCTCCCACGTAGCTGGGATTACAGGTGCATACCACCAATGCCCGCTAATTGTTGTACTTTTAGCAGAGACAGGGTTTCACTATGTTGGCCAGGCTGGTCTTGAACTCCTGACCTCAGGTGATCCACCCGCCTCGGCCTCCCCAAGTGCTAGGATTACAGGCACCTGGCCAAGTGCATAATTAAAATGAATAGTTTCTTGGAGAACACACACAGATCTGTGTTAGCAAAACATCAAAGATGTGACATTAAAGATAAAAGCTCAAGAGCAGAAGGCTTAACAAAGAAAAATAGACTCTGGCTCTAAATTGAAGGCTGCGTCCCTTGCTAAGAAGATCGAGGCAAGCTGTGCCACATTTCCATGCTGCATCATTTCTTCCTCTCCTTTTTGGAGAGTGTTTCATTCGTGTTGCCCAGGCTGGAGTGCAGTGCATGATCTCAGCTCTTGGCTCACTGCAACCTCCACCTCCCAGGTTCAAGTGATTCTCCTGCCTTAACCTCCTGAGTAGCCAGGATTATAGGCATGTGCCACCACGCCCAGCTAATTTTTTTTTACTTTTAGTAGAGACGGCGTTTCTCCATGTTGGTCAGGCTGGTCTCGAACTCCCGACCTCAGGTGATCCACCCATCTCAGCCTCGCAAAGTGCTGGGATTACAGCCACCGCCCCCAGCTGCTACATTTCTTCTGACACTTAACATAGAGGTATTAGTGTCACTCTTAGAAGGCCGTTCAGAGTATTAAATGAGCTAATAGATAATACATGCTTAGTATAGGTCCTGGCATATATCTGTATGTATATATGTCTATATATTGAGACAGGGTCTTCCTGTGCTGTCCAGGCTGTAGTGCAGTTGCACAGAGTGACTCATTGCAGCCTCTACCTTTCAGGCTTAAATGCTCCTCTCACCTCAGCCTCCCAAGTATCTGGAACTACAGGCATGCGCCACCACACCCAGCTAATTTTTGTATTTTTTGTAGAGACGGGGTTTTGCCATGTTGGCCAGGCTGGTCTCAAACTCCTGGGTTCAAGCAGTCTGCCCATCTTGGCCTCCCAAAGTGCTGGGATTACAAGTGTGAGCCACCTCGCCTGGGCATGTATTAAATATATTTAATTGAAGAAAAGGAAATGAAATAGCAAAATCAGTGGAAGGATGGTGAGTCAAAAGGTAAGCTGCATTAGGTAGGGAGATTTTTTTCAACTTTGTTCACTGCTCTGTTTATCCCCAGGACCTTGAAAAGTAACTGGCACATATGGACACTCAACAAATAGTAAACAAGTTAATAAGTGAATGAACAGAATTAGCACAGTTTATCATAGAAGCTACTGAAAGAGGGAATTTAAAAGATGATTATGTCAAAAGTAAAATCCATGTTTTTCTGCATTTTATGTATATGATCTCGCTCTGCTTCTATGTAACTCTGGCAGATGCTGGAACATTTTTCTCTTTTCAGGCATAATGAGACACAGCAAAACAATATATTTGCTCAAATATATGGGCGAATTGATAACCAGGCTCACTTCAATTCAGATTTCCTAGTGCCTTGGATCCTAAGGAAAGGCACTGCCTTCTGATGTTGAGGTTCACTATAGTTTTGAGGAGGGTGTGATGGAGTGGGTCAGCTCGCTTCTTCCCCTGCTGGTTCTAGAGTTGCTGAGCTTAAGCTGTTTTGTCTCTGACACTGGCTGACAGAATGTCATCTATAGCACTGTTCTCAGAAACACATTTCCCTTACAGCACATCCATGCATTGAAGTGGTGAACTGGATTGTATGTAGATGTCATTGTATTTACAAATGCTATGTGGAGTGCCTCGCCAGGCAGTTTCTGGTATAATAGGAGTAATCTAACTTAAATTTGTATATTCTCCTGAGAATTCTTTTGAGTTGAATAAAGCATCTCTTTGTTTTTGTCAATATGACCAAATTTTAATCCACTCCCTCACTGATTTGTCGCATAAATCCATCCTCTGACTTATTTAAAAGTTGCAGAGTTGCAGTTCTTTTAGCTAATACCACCCTTAACCATCCTCCTTCTCTAATACTCCTCTCCAATTGTGTCCTGCCTTCTGTGACATCATTAAAACGTAAAATTTGGCCGGGCGCGGTGGCTCAAGCCTGTAATCCCAGCACTTTGGGAGGCCAAGGCGGGTGGATCACAAGGTCAAGAGATTGAGACCATTCTGGTCAACATGGTGAAACCCCGTCTCTACTAAAAATACAAAAAATTAGCTGGGCACGGTGGCACGTGCCTGTAATCCCAGCTACTCAGGAGGCTGAGGCAGGAGAATTCCCTGAACCCAGGAGGCAGAGGTTGCGGTGAGCGGAGATCGCGCCATTGCACTCCAGCCTGGGTAACAAGAGCGAAACTCCAACTCAAAAAAACCAAAAACAAAAAAAAAATGGAATCTACAGTCATCTGACCATATTCCTCCCTGCTCTGTGACATCATTAAAACATGAAATCTACAGTCATCTAACCATTATTCCTCCCTGCTCTGTCACATCATTAAATATGAAATCTGCAGTCATCTGACCATATACCTCCCTGCTCTGTGACATCATTAAAATATGGAATCTGCAGGTATCTGACCATATTCCTCCCTGCTGTGTGACATCATTAAAACATGGAATCTGCAGTCATCTGACCATATTCCTCCCTCTGTGACATCATTAAACATGGAATCTGCAGTCATCTGACCATATTCCTCCCTGCTCTGCGACATCATTAAAACATGGAATCTGCATGTTTTATCACAGAGGGATATGGTAAGTCATCTGACCATATTCCTCCCTACTGTGACATCATTAAACATGGAATCTGCAGGCATCTGACCATATTCCTCCCTGCTCTGTGACATCATTAAACAAGGAACCTGCAGTCATCTGACCATATTCCTCCCTGCTCTGTGACATCATTAAACAAGGAACCTGCAGTCATCTGACCATATTCCTCCCTCTGTGATATCATTAAACATGGAATCTGCAGTCAAAAGACCATATTCCTCCCTGCTGTGACATCATTAAACATGGAATCT